TATAGTCATTACCCACTCCCAGTCCCTCAATCCCTCCAGCCCCAGGCAATCACCAATCTACTTTCTTCTCTATATACTAGAGGCCCAGTGCACAAAATTCATGCACGGGTAGGGTCCCTAAGGCCTGGCTGGCAAACAATGGGACTTTCCAGCCACATGCTGGGACCTTCCTTCATTCCGCACCACCCCCTGGTGATCAGCGCACATCATAGCAAGTGAGCAAACTCCTGGTCTCCCAGTAGAACTTCCAAGGGGACACTTTGCATATTAGCCTTTTATATATATAGATTTGCCTCTTTGGGACATTTCATATAAATGAAATTGTGCAACATGGGGTCTTTTGTGACTGGCTTCTTTTTGTGAAAGAGGTATAATGAGTATAATGTTCTCAAGGTTCATCCATGTTGCAGCATGTACTGGGACTTCACTCATTGTTATTGCTGAATATTTCCTTTTCTTGGATATGTTACGTTTTATTTATACACTCATCAGTTGATGGACTTTCTGGTGGTTTCCACTTTTTGGCTGCTATGAGGAATGCTGCTATGAACATTCCTGTGCGAATTTTTGTCCAGTCACATGGAGTGGAATCGCTGGGTCCTGTGGTAACTGTTTGTGAGCCCAGCCTCTAGCTCCGGCTTTCTCAGGCCTGGGGTGCTGATGGGGAAAGACTTGCCATTTCCATTGCCCGGGGTCTGGGGATCAAGTTCTCCCTTCCACTTTCCAGACCTTTCTGTGAGATGCTGTGGTGGAAAGAGTCAATGGAGTCTAATTCCTGCTCCACCATCGGCTCACTGGGTAACATCGAGTGAGCTACCTGACATCTCTGCACCTCTGCTTCTCCAGTGGGGAAATGGGATGACCATCTCTATGGCTGCTCTGAAGACTGGCCGAGACGACAGAAACCCAGCTTTCTGTTCATTCACTCAGCGTGTTCGTTGCTGACTGACGTGCCTCACGCTGTTCACAGCAAATGAGACGCACTAGCCCTAGCCCTACAGCCTCGTGTTTACACGTGTAACCTCTTGTTTAAGCCTCACAGTGTCCCTGGAGGTGGACCTACCAGTATCCTTCTCCCACGAGAAGAATGGAGAGCACTCTGGAGCTGAGCTCCTTTCCTCCATTCCCCCCTCTGAACTTAAGTTTAGGACCTTCGAGAACCAAATGTTGTGAAATTTTGTGGAAGTCGCCCACACAGCCAAAGAGAGGACCATTGTATAACGGTACAGTTGGCACATTTTCACAGGCCGAGTGTGCCTGTTTGCCCAGCACTCAGATGAAGAAAATCAGACCATTTCATTCCTGCCTCCCCGCCGCCAGGGACAACACGGCCCCGACTTCTCACACACAAAGGAGTTCTGCCTGCTCCTGAGGTGCATGTGAGCGGAGCTCTGGCGATAATAAATAGTCTTTGTGTCTGCCTCACTGGAGGTCTGTGAGCGGCACGGTGCTGCCTGTCATTACAGATCCTGTGTTCTCCAGGCTGATGCCCCACCATTTGTCATTGTTAATCTTCCCCCCCACCCTGATATTTTTCCATGGACTTTTAGAGAGAGTGGAAAGGAGGGGGAGAAACAGAGAGGGAAACATTGATGCGAGAGAGACATATCAATTGGTTGCCTCTTGCTCATGTGCCCCGACCGGGGCTGGGGATCGGGCCTGCAACCGAAATATGTGCCCTTGACAGGAATCGAACCCGGGACCCTGTGGTCTGCAGGTGGACACTCTTATCCACTGAGCCAAGGCTAGGGCTGATGCATCATCATCATCATTTTTTCCCCTTTTTTTCATCTCTTCTGCTTTTAAGGGATCCCTTTGGACTTGGGCTCTTGAAACAGAACACAGGGCTTCACGGTTCCCCAGTCGTGTGTCTCTGCGTTTCTGCCTGGGCCTGTGGGGCAGGGAAGCAGGGAGGCGAGGAGAGTGTGCTGACCCAGTCCCGGCCTCTCGCCACGTGCCTCCCGGGGGCTCTGGCCTGGTCCTCTACCCTCAGCTGCTCCTTCTTAGAGTCCATCCACATTCTGTTATTCTGGACTTGGCTGAGGCCAAGGGGTGAGCTGGCAGGCATCCTAGGCAAACAAGAGCAGCTGGAGAGCAGAGGAACTCCGGGGGTGGGAAGATGGCCCCAATAAGACACTCCGCGGTGGCCGCCAGGGCTGTGCGGAGGCCTCGGGCCCACGTGTTCGGCAACAATTCGGGAAGGAGAATTCGGTGGAAATCGGGCCTCCTCTGGGCTGCGGTCTGGGGACGGGAGGTAGCCAGGGTTCAAGTCCAGCTCTGCCATGAGAGCTATCAACTGAGGGGGACTACATGACTCGGCTGTTTGAGGAGTAAAGGACTCAGTGCACATGAAGGTTCCCGACCTCGAGGAAAGGTGGGCATTAGGGTTGCAATGGGCCAGAGGCAGCTCTGTTTTCCGTGCACCGCTTTCCTGGACATGCACGCTGGCCATGAAAGCAGACACCATCTCCTCCTCACTCCTCAGGGGAGGACCAAGAGGCAGAGGTTGAGAACCTGCCTGAAGCCACACTGTGGGTCCGTGGCAGAGCGGAGACGGCGGTCAGTGTGAACTATCCACCACATTTTATAAGTGTGGCTCAGCCAGGCTTTGACCCTGCGTCTGTTTGACTCCAGAGCCCAGGCCCCTGGTGCCAGGGCTGGGAGCCGAGCGTGGAGGGGACCCGGCAGCATGGAGCTGCCCGCTGGGGCCCGGACTCGGCCCTCACATCTGGCTTGGCGAGCAGGGTCTCAGGCTCATTTCCTTTATCTGCAAAGTGGGCCTGCGTGACCAGCAGGGCCTTTCTCCTTGCTGGGTTCCTGGCTAGTGGAACTCCTGCTGGGTTCCGGGCTGGAGCAGGCTTAGGGGCTGCCAGGAGAGGCCTCTGAATCTGTCCAGCGTTGGCAGACCTGCCCTGTGGGGGGTGGGCAGTCAGGGCCGGGAGCCAGAGTCGACAGTGCTATGTCCACTTGGTGGCCCCCTTTCAGGGGGGTGTGCCCCAGCCTGCCCTCAGGGTGCTCCAGCATAGAGGGCACGCACACACAGCTGTCCTAACAGGTGGCTGGGTGTTGCAATGGGCTTTTACAATGTGCTGAGGGGAGCCAGAGGTCGAAGCACTGGCTACAGTCCAGGAAGGCTTCACAGAGGAGGAAGGTTTTGCAGGCTCAGTAGGAGTTCCAAAGTGGAGATCATGGGAAGGGTGTTCTTTCTAGAGGAAGCGGCAATAAGTATCGGCTACTCAACTCCATCCGCTCCTCCATCCCCAGTTGCCTGGCCATCTCTGTTTTCAGGGGGCTGGAGCCTGGACATAATATTTTCCAGAGTCCCTGGCCAACGAGTTTCCGAGGAGGTTCTGCCAGTGGGGAGAAGGCAGGCGGGCCTGGGCAGGCTCTGTAGACCCGGCAGTTCTCTCGGTACCAGGGCTGCAGGGACAACCCCCCCGGCAGCGAGGAGGGGCGGCCTGACGGGCTGCTGGGCTCCTGCTGGCCGTCCGGGCGGCGAGCTCCTTCCCTATGGCTGGGTGACACTCCTCTTCGCCCTCTCCCACCTTCCGGATGCCTCTGCCACCAGTTTCCCCAGCGAACTCCTCTCTGTCTCAAGTGGCTAGTGGTTTCTGTTTCCAGTACATTAGTAATTGGTAAAATGTTCAGCAGTGCAGGCCTGAACCAGGGGGCAGTGTTCAAGGAACAGAAGGATTCAGCACCTAGATCATGTGATTCATTTATTTTGGTTTATTGTTAGGAGCATGTCCTGTCTTTCAACATGGGTTCCCTGAGGACCGGAGACTGTCTTCGATCATCTATTCAATCAACAAACACTGGTGGGGAATGAATGAGGTGAATGACCAAGCCCCCCCACTCCTGGAATCACAGTCTGGACATGGCACTGTCCACTGTGGTAGTCACTGAGGCCACGGAGACCTGAAAGGCAGCCAGTCCGAACGGAGACAGCTGTCAGTGTGAACTCTACACCACACTTCCGAGACAGTGGGTGCAAATAGGAATGCCACGTGTCTCACTGATAATTTTTATATTGGTTACGCGAGGAAGCAACAATGTTTTGAATATATTAGATAAAGTGTATTTCACCTGTGTCTTCTTTATTATTAAGGTATTATATGTGTACATATCTTACCATTGGGGGCCCCCCCCCCACTCCCATACATGCCCTCACCCCCCAGAGTTTTGCGTCCATTGGTTATGCTTATATACATGCATGTAAGTCCTTCGGTTGATTGCTTATCTCCCTAACTTTCCTGTCTTTTTTTTTTAAGTATATTTTTTTTTATAGATTTCAGAGAGGAAGGGAAAGGGAGGGATAAAAACATCAATGATGAGAGAGAATCACTGATGCCCACCCCATACTGGGGATTGAGCCCTGACTGGGAATCAATCCATGACCTTTATGGTTCATACGTCGATGCTCAACCACTGAGCCACGCTGGCAGGGTTCTTTACTCTTTTTAATGTGGCTTATATTACATTTCTTTTGACAGCGCTGGTTTTATGGGAGCTGAGTTCAAATACCGTTGATCTACCAATTCAGCATTTATTAACGTCTGTTTAAGAGATATTTGGCCTCTGCCCCTGAGAACGTCAGATAGAATGGCAAGGGGGACACTTATACCAAGACGGAACTAAAATTCATGGTAAATGTTTGAGTTGGCAGGGCTCTGGGGGCCTGAGAAGAAATCTGTGAAGGCTTCCCGGAAGAGGTGTCTCTGCTGCTAAGCCTTAGAGGGCGAGTAGGAGTTCACAAGACGGGCGAGGAAGGGGAAGGACACGAGGTTCAGGCAGCTGGACACGCGGCGAAAGCTAAGGAGCTGGCAAGCACACAGGGCTGGGGAGATACGGGAAGTTCACTGCGGCCCAAACATGTTTTGTTTGAGAAGGAGGCTGGAGAGCCTTGAACACCAGTCAAGTTTGGACCTGGCTGGTCCCAGTGCGAATGAGCTCACCCCCTCGCCCTCCTCAAAGGCATGAAAAGAACCAGACAGACCTTATTTGAATGTGCAAAATAAACTCTTTAATTTCAGTGCTCGCTCCTTGTGGCTCAAAAGCATATCTACTGATTGCCTGATTGGAACCCGAAAGCGTTCACAAAACCGTAGAGAAACAGCAATAGATAAAACAGATGTGTCGGCTCACTGTGGGACTCGTCCCCTGTGCGAAGCAGCCAGTTCTAAGTGCATCAGCGTGACGCTCCCCAAGGCCCCTCCCCCCGCCCCCGGTCTTTGGGGGACTCTGGCTGGGACCCCAACTCCAGACGGAGAATGCTCTCTTTTCCCCTCCTCCAGCCTCAGGGAGACCCAGTCACATGGAGAGTGAGGGGGGTTAAGCAGAGAGGGGGGCGCCGGGCTGCAGACTCTCTTGGTCAGTGAGCAGCAGGGGCAGCTGAGGCGCTTGTGAAGTCAGTCTAGGCACTGCACTGGGTAGGCTCATGGATGGGTCGGACAGGGGCCTCGGGGATTCTTTTCCCTGGAAACTGGGGTCTGATGGAAGGGGCCTGGGCACAGGTGTGGGGCCTGGATAGGCTGAGGGCAGAGCCGTGGTCCTGGTCATGGTTTCACTCAGAACTCCCCCCCGCCCCCAGGCATGTGGCCTAAGCTCTGCGGAGCCAGGGCGAAGGACTTGCCAGGTCCCACACGGCGTCGGGAGAGCTGCGAGGGCCTCGGAGGTGAGGACCCCGAGGCCCGGAGAGGAGAAGGCAGTGGCTGGCCGCCCCTGGGGCTCCGACCTCTCCCAGTGCTTCCCACTTCCTCACCCCGACGGCGTCCTTTTGGATCAGGTCCCGGATGGCCTCCCTGACACCCTCAGGTCTGGGCTGGTGGCACAAACGGGGAGCTGGACTCGGAGTCAGAGGCCTGTGCTCCGTTCCCAGGCCTTCACCTTCCCCAGCCTTTGGAATACCCACCAGCCCACCTGGGCCCGCAGGCCACCTCCCTTTCTCCGAGTCTCGGTCTCCTCCTCCATGAGAAATCAGCTCCCGCTCTGCAGTTTCCCGTGGGGACTAAATGGGCTGGCAGCCACGAGAGGACCAGCAAGTACAGGGGGCACCTGCATGTCGGTGCTTCCCAATCGTGGGGGGAAGCGGGGGGGTGGCGGGGAGCTGTGGGCCAGAGCTCCTGGGATATGGGAGGAGCTCCGGCCCATCCTACACCTGGGACCCGCCCCATCCCCACCTGCGCTGGCTCTCCCAGGGGCTCCTGGGGCCCGGGCACAGTCTGGGGAAGGGGCACAGGACATGCCAACTCTGGAGCCTGTGCTCCAAGGGGCCGTGGTAGAGAGCAGACAATGTGGGGTGATCATTGCTTTCCAAACGGCACCTGGGCTGGAGGGGGAGGCGTGGGTCTTATTTTCTCCATCCCAGGCCCAGTCAGCCCCACTGGGGAGGCACAGAACATCGCTCCTGGGTGAGGGGGTGGGAACCAGGCTCAGGGGACAAGATGGGTCTGGGGCCACGGAGGGGCACATTTTCCTCGTTAGCTTGGGAGAAAGACTGGGGATCAGGTTGGGGCTGTGGGCTGGCTGAGGTGGGGCTGGCACGGAGCCCCTTAGGGGGGGCCGATGATGACGTTCCTATAGCCCTTCACGGCCTTCAGCTTGTTGCTGTTGAAGTTGACCACCAGCTTGTGGAGGCCCACCCAGGTGGGCAGCAGGCTCACTCTGACCTTGACTTCCTGCCCCACCTTCACGGGGCTCGGGCTGCGAAGAGAGAGGAGGAGGTGGAGGGGATGGTGCAGATGGCTGTGTCTGTGTGAGGGCCTGGGCGTTGGGGGCGGGGGGGGGGGTGGTGTTTAGTGACAGGAGGTGTAATTGTTCAGGTTTATGAGACACGTGCATGGAACACAGCGGTGTGGGTGTTGAAAGGATGGGGGGTGGGGCGGATCTGCCCCAAGGGTACCCAGGCAGGTGTGGGGTGGGTGGAGGAGAGGCGGGGTGATGGGCCGGAGTGTGGTGCCTCTATCAGCATCTGCCCGCTGCCCCCAGTCCCCAGGCTGGAGGGACCGACACTTACATATCCACGGTTATCTGTGACTCCATCAGGCCAGCGCCCTCCACGGTGATGGTGCAGCCCTCCAGGGGCTCGGGGAGCGGGTTCTGCAGGGACACCTCGGCCACCAGCTTGCGGTTCTTCTTGGGCTCCCCCAGGATCTGGGGCAGGGCACAGGGTAGAGGTCAGGGGCCGCATTGAGGGAGGGGCCCAGGACCCCTGAAGGGCAGCAGGGTCCCGGCTGGGCCATCTCTGCATTTGCTGCAATTTGGCCCAATGTTTGCCGAGCATAGCCACGCCCTTCCTGCCACTGTCACTTCTGACCTCTGTGCCTCAGTTTCCTCATCTGGAAAACACGGTGATGGTACTGGCCCAGCCTTCTTCATGGAGGCTCCACACAACCCACGGGGGCTCTGCCGCCTCCCTTGTTCTGGGGCCTCGAGTGGGAAGATCACAGGCTTTGGAGCCAGCTGGTCTCTGCCCCTCCCTCACTGGGTGACCCCGGAAGTCACCACCCTCTTGGAGCCTCGGTCTCTTCGCGGGAGAGACATGCCTGGCTTGCAGGGTTCTCACAGGGGCTGCTGAGCGAATAACGTGCAAGCGCCTGGCAGAGGGTCCGGCACACGGTGCTCACTCCCTCACCCTCTGCTCTTCACCACTGACTCGCAACTGTTGCATTTGGGATGCAGTGCGGCTCCTGGAAGTGAATCACTACGACGACGACAATGCTGATGGTGACAAGAGTCAGTTTTTATCGAGCCTTGCAGTGCACTGGATATGCTTCTATGTGCTTCTTGCGGATGCAGATTTAATCCTTCCAACACCCACCTTACAGAAGATTAAACTGCCTGGCTGCAGGGTTTGGGGGGGCAGAGTAGCGTGCCCGGGGTCACCCAGCCACAAAGCCGGACAGTCAGACTTCAGAGTCTGTGCCCTCGACTCCTCCACCCTCCCTGTCCCATCAGGGTCCCAGGCTCTGGGGATCTAGCTTTAGGAGGTTAGCATTTAAGGGCCCATGACCCTGAGATCCCTGAATGCCAGGACTCTACCACGCTGAGATTCTAGGATCCATCCCTAGAGGCGATATGAGTCCCATGATGCTTTGGGCCTCATGATGCTTTTCACGAGGATCCCTGAGGTGTCAACGAGCCTGGGGGAGCAGGGATGCAGGGGCACGAGGCCTGCCCTCCCCCAGCTCTGGGCTCGCCCTGGGCCCCTGCCCAGTCAGCCCCTTACCCGGATCTTGATTTCTGGGTTCTCCAGATAGATGTCCCTCTCGGCCACCAGGTAGATGTCGGTAGCTAGGTCGATGAGGAGGCCCCGCACCTTGATGAGGTTGGACTCCGTCAGGTAGTCAAAGTACTTCTTGTAGAGCACCGGGAGGGTGATGCTTTTCTCTGCGGAAGGGGGGGGGGGAGAGCACACGTCATGACCCAGACACAGCCCCACCTCTCCTCCTGCGTTTCCACCGGCACAGAGAGGGCAAGGGATGTGCTTGAGCTCACACAGCTGGAGGATGGCCGGGCAGGTCCCAGGCCTTCCCCCTGCCTGCCCTGGTTCCAGGGAGCCCAGGGAGGGAAAGTAAAACAGCTGGCCGGGCAAGGCCTGGAGCTCTGACTGGCCTGGGTGCTGATGCTGCCTTCCCCGCTTTGCTCACAGGGATGCTGGGCCAGTCCCTCCGCCGGTCAGGACCTCGCCTTCCCCTGTGAGGTCGGTCAGACTGTACCATTTTACAGACGAAGAAACACTCTGCCAGTCGGGGCTCAGATCGGGAGACCGGGCCCTGGATGGCCAATGACGGCTGAGTGAGCCTGGGAAGATGACCTCCCTCTCTGTTTTCCCTGTTCCCTCTGATTTCCCCACACAATCGGCACCCTTAACGCGGGCAGCGCTGAGAGGAGAGGTCCTTTCGGAGCAAGAGCCGCACAGCAATGCGGGAGTAAAAGAAGGAAGCGGGGGTCAACCCCTCCCACTGCGGAGAAACCACGTGTGACGGTCCGCCCATCATTCTGACAGGAACACGGAGGCCTGCAGGAGGCAGGGAAGAGCAGGGAAAAGAACACAGGACGGAGACTACGCAAGCCTGAGCCAGGCCCTGCTTGTCCCGTTGGCCACCGAGAGCCTTGGACAGATCCCTGTTCCTTGGGCCTCTCCTGCCAAACAGGATTGCTGGAGGAGGGTCCTTGGGCTCCGTATCATCCCAGTGCCTCTCTCCATTGTCCCCGTGCCGTGACAGGAGACGCTGGTGCCTCTTTTCCTGCTATCTGCCCCCTAGCTCCCCCACCACTAACTAGACCAGCATTTCCCAAACGCCAGCCATTCACCATTTTTCACCCATCTGAGAGCATCCGAACCCTTTGCTTGTTGTTTTTCTTTCAGTCCACTCACTTATATTTTCCAGCCTATTCTAACCAGGGGAAATTTTTCACCAACATTTGCAGCAAACCAATCAATCTCCTTTTACCCTAAATAGAAGGTAACTGCTAAAAATACGTACAAGCTAAGTCATGCCCATTCAATTCCGGTGAGATAGTCTTGTCTGCGAAGGGCTCTCAGTCTGAGACCTGAGCTTACTGTTCAGAAGGGAGATTAGCCAGCGCTGGGACGCTAAGACCCGTTAGCGCCCACCGAGCCGCTCCCCGTGGTGAGGTCGTCTGAAGGAGAGCGAAGACCGGAGAGTCCCTTTCTCACAGACGATCCACGTCCCACCCTGTGGAAAACGCTGCCTTCGTGTGCCCAGCCCTCTGGCCATTCATTCCCAGGGTGGACCTGACCCAACCTCCGATCAGATGACATCAGGGGAAGAAAACCAAATCCTCCGCCAAAAGGGACAAAAAGGAGAGAAAATTCCCGGTGGGGCAGAGTGGAAAGTCTGACCAGCTCCACAGGAAAGAAAGGAAACACTGTGGTCCGGGAGCCCGGAGGACATGGCCCTAACTGTTGACTTTTCCAGGAGGCTGAACCGGGCGGGGTTGGACCTTGGAGAACTGCCTTTTGCCTGCTGGGACCACGGCCTGGGCCCCGGGCCAGGGCCTGGCCAAGAGAAGGAAACTGACCCGGTGGTTTCAGTCATTCCTTAGGTGATTTGCCAGTTCTGGAGTGTGCTGCGGGCAGGCGTGATCACCAATTGGCTGCATTCCCAGTGACCACCCGGAGGGGGGAGGGAGGGGAGAGAAAGAGATTAAGGGAGGGGCGGCCAGGGGAGGGAGAGACACAGCAGGGCAAGGAGGCAGGGTGGGGGCGACTGGATTCTGTTCTGCTGCCCTAGGCCCAGCTTCCTGTCCATGAGCACATGGAAATCCCCCAAATCTTATCATCCGGGAACAACGCGCAACTCAGCTAAAGAGGTTTTAAGAGTCACAGAACCTATCTCAGGTTGGGCCCCTGGACTAGCTCCGCCTCGCAGCCTGAGGATACCGTCCTCTGCCCTCTCCCTGCAGGCTGGGCCCAGGACCCCCGGTGTGAGCACATCCCCAGGATGCGGAGAAACACTGACAGGTGTGGCTGACGCCTCGGCGGAATAGTGGGCCCAATGGCATCTGGGCGGCAAAGAGGCCCGGGAGGAAGTCATTACCCCTGGTCCAGGCCGAAGTTCATGTCTTGCCACCCATTCCAGGAAGGGCACTTCCTCCCTTTGGAGTGGTTCCGAGCCCAAGAAGGACGTGACATGCATGCATCCCAACAAATGGGCCAAAGGGCTCTGCAGAGGTGAATCAGGCTTTGTCCAAACGGGGAACCCGAGGCCTGGGATGGAGAAGAGAAACAGCCCGGCACCCACCGCCCGCCACCAGAATTGGGAGTCCTGACCACCCCGCACACCTGACACGTAGGGCCTGGGTGCCTAGGGCCATGCTGGGTCCTTGCCCTGCCGCCCAGGGCAGCAGGGCTCAGGCACCACTGCGCCCAGCACCGAGACCACGACCTGGCCCCGCCGGTGGTCAGGAAAGGCCCTGTTTGCCCGTCTGCTCGGCGAGGAGTGAATCCCCCGCCATGCCCGGCACCGCTTCACACTTTCCGGCCAGCTCCTGGGCACCCGTCCCCACAGGGCCCGCCCGGTGGGCATGTTGGTGACCCCATCAACGGATGAGTACGGGTTGCGGCTCTGGCAGCATGGCCGCCTGCCCAAGGCCATGCATTTAGGAGGTGGTAGAGGCCACATTCAAAGCCTGTCTGACTGGCCTCAAAAGTAAGGTGACCAGACGTCCCGCTTTTGGCGGGACAGTCCCGATTTCTAACAATTTGTCCCGCGTCACGTCACGCAGCATTTTAAAAAAGATCGGGAAGACCGGGACTTTTTTTTTTTTTTAAAACGCTTTGGGACGCAGGACAAATTGTTAAAAATCGGGACTGTCCCGCCAAAAGCGAGGACGTCTGGTCACTTTACTCAAAAGGCACCTCTCACCAGTGTCAGGGTTGGGAGCCCGGCCCTAGTGCCAGTGACTCTGTCCTGAGGGCGTGGGCCCGCTCAGGGACCCTGACCCAGCGCCTGCTCTGGACGTGCGGCTCCAGGAGTGCCCACGTGGCTCGCAAGACAAAAGCAGGAGGTTGCACTGTCAGTCCCCTAGGCCCCCCGCCTGAAACACAGACAGGCCTCCTTAAGACCTAGGTGGCTGTGCCCACACGCCAGCCCCCGGGGCGGCCGACCTGCACAGACACGGAGCACTGGGCCCGGGGCCTCGCCGCAGCCCTGCGACCCGGCATAGCTCTCAGGAAGGAAGCGGCCTCGGTGTGCGCCTCCTGCTGGCCAGGCAGTCCCCACTATCAGGTCATGGCTCTCCTGTCTCTGCGGGGACAGGAGGCTCAGCCAGCCTGGCCCTCAGAGGACCGTCAGCGTCTCACTCCACTGCCCCCAAGTCCTCTCCCAGCTCCTTGACCGCACTGCCCTTCTCACGCCTCCGGCTCCTCACACAAACAGCAGGGTTGGGCTGCCGGGCGGCGGGAGGAGGGCTCTGGGTCGCCTTCCCAAGTGACCTCAGCAGCGGCCACAACCCCTCTCAGGGTCTCAGGCTTATTTGTCCGTTTTCCAAAGCGAACTCCTCTGCATCCCTCAAGACCCAGCCCCAGATGACCCTGCTTAAGGAAGACAACCTGGCATAGTGACAAAGCTGGGCAACACAAGGGACCAAGGAGACGTCCCTGCAGGCAGAGGCTCTGCCCAGGGCTGAGGACTGGGTCATCTGCTAGCATTATTTTATCCCAAAACAGGGGAGACACGGCACTAAGGAGGGAAGGGAAGAGGGTCTGCCTTACAGGGCAGACGGGACAGGCGCCGGGGCTAGACAGCTATGAGGAGACAATCAGGGCTGGAGGACAGCTTCTCTCCGCAGCGGGCTGGACACTTTCTCCTGTCACCATGACAGCTAGCGACACTGTCCAGTGTGGCAGTTTCTGGCCACACGCGGCTGTTTACAAAGCGAAACGGACACTTCAGTTCCGCCGTTGCGCCAGCTGCTTTTCAAGTGCTCAGCAGCCACACGGCCCTCGCGTTGGTCTTGAACCTCTTCTCTCAGAGGCTGGGCACCTCCAGGGGAGAGGGGCTGCTGGCTGCGGGAGTTGCTGGAGGCAGAGGGAAGGAATTAGCTGGGAGGGAGCCGCCGAGAGTCTGGGAAAGCCGTTGGAGCCCGGGAACATGAGATGGGACAAAGCAGTGTAGCTGCTGAACAAAGCAAGTGTAGCTGTGGTCCTTTCTCAGGACCACACCGCTGGGATGTGGCAGGCCTGAGACTCAGGGGAGGCACAAGTTCGAGTCTCCGGCCTGCCACATCCCAGCGGTGTGGTCCTGAGAAAGCTACTTAACCCCTCTGTGCTCAGTCTTCTCCCCTGGGAGACGGGGAGGTAAACTGCACAGGCTGGGGTCAGGGCCTTTCCTAGCACGTCCGTCTGAGGTCCATCGCCGGTCCGGGAACAAAGGGACTTACCAGAATTGGGCTCCAGGGAAAGACTGAGCAGGTCCATGGAGCTGCACACCGGCCCCAGCATCCCGTTGTAGCTGCTGGTGCGGGCGAAGAGCAGGAGGCGGCAGGAGTGGCTCTCCTCGGTGTCGTTGTTGATATGGGCATAGACGTCGAAGTCGCTGCCTACTGTCATGCTTCGGACCACGCGGATCCGCATGGTCACCCCCGGCTTCTCTCTGGCGTCCAGCTTGTTCAGGTTGTTGGCCTTTTTGAAGGCCTCCCTCTCCTCACGGGACCCTGTGGGGGGACAGGCAAGAGGACCCCATGGCTGAAACCTAATTCAGTAAGAAGGAGACTGGGGCAGAGCAAGATGGCCTGAGTCCCGGTGACTCAGAGCAGCCCCGAAGGAGTGTCATCTCCACATTTCTGTACCAGGAGCAGGAAAGAATATTTTCTTCATTTTCCAAAGTGAACTCCTATGCATCCCTCAAGACCCTGCCCCAAATGCTCCTTTTCCCCAGGATGAATCAATTAGTGTGTTCTGCAGCTTCACAGCTGCCTATTGCCAGTTATGGTGCGTGGGTTTTTTTTGTTTTGTTTTGCTCACCAAACTGTTTTTTGTCTAAGTGGTTGCCCTTTGAGCTGCTTGAGGACTAAGACTGTATTTACTTGCCTTTATGTCATGTAAATAGTGCTTGGCGCAGTAACCACCAATACAATTTGAACTTTCTCGCCTGCAAGTGTTTACATAGAATTGATTCCCTCCCTGCCCCAGGCCCCCCACAGAGCTCTCCAACAGGAAAGGCTGCCCTCCTTATCCTCCCGTTACCTCTCTCCGACGCTCCTTTCATCCCCCACCACGTGTTGTTGGGTACATCTCTACTCCTCCTATCAAACCATCCTCTCTGAACCTTTCAGAGGCCTGGGGACATCTCTTCCTTCTGTTATCCTTTCCGCCTAGAGCACGGCCACAGAACCACCCCCCCCCCAGGCAGCCCTGGGAAGTCAGTGAGGGCTAGATGTGGGCCCAGGTCTGGTTTCCTCGTCATCCCTGTGAGCCCCGCTGTGCTGGGCAGATGCTTAGAGACATCAATCCTATTGGGTTGTCAGATGCGCTCAAATCCGCGCCCTTCCCCCCACCTCTTACTGATTTAACATTAGCAACAGAAAGAAGTCTCTTTTTGTGTGTGTGTGTGTGTGTGTGTGTGTGTGTGCCTGATTGAATCCATCTTATCTTTAAATCTCTTTGTCTGTTTCTCTTTCATCTAACCCCTCCCCATCCACTGTCCTGTTCCCTTCCCCGGCTGTGTGAGAACTGCGGCAAAAATAAACACGGCCAGCCGAGTTCCAGAACCTCTCCTCCAGGGCCCCCTGACTTCCCAAGCCTCTTGACTACGAGGGCATTGCAACAAAACGTGTGGAGTTGCAGGTCCCACCGCTGCAGGTCCCACCGCTGGTGAGCGCTGTGAACACACAATACGGGCATCAGTCACTTTTGTTACGATGCATGCCTCTCGCATCTAGCAGGCACCCCCTTCAGCTTTATTGAGTCAAGCCAGCCCCCCAAAAAGTGAGGCTTAAAGACCAAATGGAATCCTTCTGTGGAGCATAGAATTATTTCCCTAAACAAATTATCCTCTACCACCGTCTTCCAGTGTGTTTGGTAAGTGTAACCTGTCCCGAAGGAATTTTTTTTGAACGGAGAGTAACCTACAGGCCATTGTATGCAGACTGCCAAATCTCACACACACACACACACACACACACACACACACACACACACATACACACACACACCCGCTGGACTGGTAAAACCGGCGGCTTATCTGCAGGGCAGTGTGAAGGCGGAGGGCACCCACCCTCTGGGTACTTGTAGATGTGGGTGATGTCCTCCCGCTGGTCCCGGCCCACACTCTTGGTGCTGATCTTCTGCCCCACGACCGTGGAGTTGTTGAAGGACTTGTGCAAGGACCCGTCTGCATTCCGGATCCACTCCACCAAGTCGGCATTGACCTCGGCGAAGACGAAGGGGGCGTCGTACTTGGGGGTCAGGTCGCCTTCCTTGATGGCGCGAACCGGCACCGGGCCACAGCAGTAGGTGCCTGGTTGGGGGGGGGGGGGGGGGGGGAAGAGGAGGCACCTGGATGAGGGTAGAATGGCACCTCCAAACCCTGCCACGAGTCAAGCACACGTGGCAAAACATCTCGAGGCCGTAAAGCCCTTGGACTCAGGGCCTCCACTGCTAGGAAAGCATCGTAGGTAAGAATTAAGGATAGATGCCAAAAGTGGTTTGGCTCAGTCGATGTAGGGTGTCGACCTGCAGACTGAAAGGTCCCAAGTTCGATTCCAGTCAAGGGCATGTACCTTGGTTGCGGGCACATCCCCAGTGGAGGGTGTACAAGAGGCAGCTGATGATTCTCTCTCATCGATGTTTCTAACTCTCTATCCCTCTCTCTTCCTCTCTGTAAAAAAAAATCAATAAAATATATATTAAAAAAAAAAAGAAAAAAGAATTAAGCATAGAGACCCCGGAGCCCAGCTTTTAGGGTTCAAATCGTAGCTCTTAGTAGCTGTGTGATGTTGCAGTAGTTACTGAGCTTCTCTGAGCCTTGGTTTCCAGTCGGGGATGCTATGTATGCCTTCCTCGTGAGGATTGGCACGTACTAGGTGCCGTGTAAGTGATAAATGAAACAGAAGAATACCCCAAAGCACCCCGAGGAACAGAGGGAGCCAAGCAGCTGGCAGCACTAGAGAAGGCGGGGCCTCTGTCTGGTTTAACCCCCTGCCAGTGTTTGCCTCGGTGCAGTTTACAGCTGCCTCAGCTGGTCACACATGCGGAAGGTGAGGACTGGAGGCTGGATGACAATCTATGGTGCATCCATTTGATGGAACACGGTAACATGAAATTCAAATTCAAATCACAGAACACTGCCTGGTGGAGAGACGCTAGAGTAGGGGTGTCGAACTCAATCAGAGAAGGGGCCAAAATCTAAAATCCAGCCTAAATCGCGGGCTGAATGGTTTACTGAACAGTCATAAACTGTCATTGTGCTGGAAACGCAGCGGAGTGCAGTGATGACAGCACGGTGCAGGCCACATTGCAAGGCCTGGCGGGACGGATTTGGCCGGCGGGCCTTGTGTTTGACACATGTGCGCTAGAGGCATACAGGAAAGTGACAAGTTAGCATACAAGGCCGAGTACAGCCATAGCTCTTCACCTGGAGTCCGCCGACTCCCATGGTGCAACGAATAGAATTCGGGGGTCCGTGAACTTGGACAGGGGGGCGGGGGGAGGTGAGGTCTTTCTCCTCACCGCACTGTGACAGCACTTCCTTCGACCATGAAAACAGGCAAACCGTAATCTTAGGTGCGCTTACGACTCGTCACCTGTAAAACCACAGATACTCTCCTATCGCTTCATGGTTGTCACAGGTATTTGGAGATAACGTTTATCTCTGCTACCAAGTTACCTATTCTATTAGTCCTACCGCTAGATCTTGTTATATGAAATCTATATGATTATATTACAATTTTTTAAAAAAAATTTTTGGTAACTCTATTTCAATGTAATTGGTTTACTTTGTAAACCGTAGGTATTACGTTCTATAAATTGGCTTCGAGAATCTTGCCATGGCTCTCTCTTCGCCTGCACACACGTATGTAAACAAGCATCTAACTGGAGGTGACTGTGAGAATGTTAAGGATGCTTTGTGAGGAGGGAGAGGACAAGGTGCTATCTGATACTTTCTTTACGATTCTCCTTACTGTTTTCCACAGCCGGCAGGAAGGACGTTTCAAAGGACAAAGAAGCATGTGGCATTAGTGAGGTCCCCACGCCAGATGGGCCAGTCAGTGACCTTTGGGTCAGCCAGACGTGGATCGGAACGCCAGCCCTGTGCTCTCCCGCGGAGGGCCTCTGGGAGAGTGCTCTCTGGGCCTCAGTTTCCTCCTTTGGCCTTGGGGACATGCCTACCCACCTTCACTCTTCTCCTGGGGCGTGGGGTCGAGGGCCTGCCACCCATCGTAGCCGGGCTTCAGGTCCGGCCTGGTCATCCAGGACTCCACCCAGCAGTGGAAGTTCCTGTCGGGGAACGAAGCGGAACGTTGGCCAGGACTCACACTCAGGCTCTCCTCCCCTCCCCACTCGCCTGGTCCTCGCTGAGCCCAGCGTGGCCCCCTGACGCTCCCCTTTGCTCTTCCCTCTGCGGCCCCTGGCCAGGTGCTCGCTCCTGCACTGAGTGTCATCCTCAGCGCCTCTCCCACCGCCCTCCCCTTGCAGGGGCTCCTGACGTTCAGCTGAGGTTTCCTCCTCATTTCTCGGCTCCGTGCCTTCTTTTCCAGCCTCTGGAAACAGGCTGAGCCTTGGTTCCGGCCTCATCCCCAGCCGCCCGGACACACCTCTCCTCCAGCCTCTCCCTCCAGGCCTGCTCCTAGGTTGCCAGCCTGTCCCGCTCCCAGCTGGAAGCCCAGGCCCCCTATCCTGGCCTCCAGAATCCCGACAGCCATACTCCTGAGGCCATCCCCGCAGTGCATGGACTTTTCTCCTCCTGGCCTTTGCTCATGCTGTCCTCCCTGCCTGGACAGCCCTCCCCTCCCCCGTTTCCCCTTGTTCAAACTCTGTTTGGATTTGAAACCCAATTCAAACGTGGCCTCTTCTGAGAAGCCTTCCCAAATTTCCTCTCCTGGAGACCACAGGGCCCTCTCCCCACCCTGGGCCCCACCTCACCAGATCATCTCGCTCTTGTTCCCCTCGACCTCCCCAGACTCGTTGCGGAAGTACTCGATGAGCAGGTTGCTGTTCGAGTCGTGGGCCGAGTTGTAGTTGGTCACGACTCGGGTGGGGATGCCCAGGCATCGCAGCACTGGGTGGGGGGGGACACACGACAGAGAGAGGGGTTAGGGGCCCGGCTGAGGATCTGAAGACATGCCCATCTGTACCCCAGTGAAAACTGCACCCACTGAGCAAGTGGTGAGGGTGTGTCATCCCTTACCCAGACAATGGCGCCCACCTTGCTCGTCGCCCCATGTCCACTCTGCACCCCCAGCTAACAGAAGAAACGTCTGAATTGCAAATCTGACACCAGCATGCCTCTGCTCAACCTGCAATGGCTCCCTGAGGCCCTTGAGGTCCAGGCCAGACCTCCGGCTATGGCCCCCTGGCCTTGCAGGGTCTGGGCCCCGACTGCCTCCTGCACACTTGGCTCCAGCCACATTGGCCTCCTCACTGCTCCTCCAGCATCCACACTCCCGCCAGCCACAGGGCATTGGCGCGTGCTCTTCTGTCCTCCAGGAAAGCTGGGTTTAAATTGCCCCATTGTTTGCATTCATACAAGGACTAGGGATTCATCATCTTTCTCCATGGGCGGGCACCTGAGGGGGTCTTCGATTAGTTCTCCGAGGCAGAAGAGGAGAACTTACTTCGTATTCCCAGAGCCCCGCATAGGCCTGGCACAGACTATCTTGTCCAATGCGATGAAGATGTGGGTGAGGTAGAGAGAGGAGGAGTGAGGGAGGCGGGGAGGAATGAAGGAAAGATAAAGATTCAGAGTAGGGAGCAAGCAGTGAGACCAGCAGAAGAGGAAATACAGGCCAGGAGACTTTCTATCCAAGCCCTCGCTGCTTCCTGCTGTGTGACCTGGGGCCAGTCCCTCCACCTCTCTGGGCCTGTCTCCTCGTCTATAAAATAAGGTCAGGGTGCAGGTGCAGTGTCCGTCAGATGTGCTGGGACACGGTCATGGACGAGGAGGGTCCTGCGTTTACTCCAAAGCACACGGAGAGGAGGGAACCCAGGCATGTGAATCTCCCCTGAATGGCGGTGCTGGGTGCTCCTGACAGAGAGAATTATGGGCCTTTTCTTTCAGGTGTTTTTTAATGTAGAGTGTAAAAGCAACACACTCTCAGGGTAGGATAAAGATATAAATAGCTAAAAAAAAAAAAAAAAAAAAAAAAAAAAGTGAAGCAAAATGACCCTCAGGACTTTGGTTTCGCTTTTAGTTTTGACTGAGGTTGAGTTGCTAAATCGGGAGAGGGGCAGGAGGTGAACTTTGCCTGCCATCCACTAGGGCCCAGGGTTCTGGCCAGACGTGTGGATGTTGGGAGGCGGGCAAGGAGCAGCTGTGAATCCTCGCCTCTTGCCTGGTCCCTGTGCCCTGAGGCCTGGGCAGAGGCCAGACTGGCTGCTGCCTCAGTGAAGGCTGGTGGCCCAAACCTGGGCCTTGCCCCGCCATGCCACCAGGATCCTGTCCCCCTGCCCCAGGAGCAAGGCACCCTGCCTGTCCCCAGGGATGGGGCCTGGGAAGCCTCCATCACAGTCTGAGGCCGGGAGGCTTCCTCCAAGCCAAGCACGTGTGGTTCCAAGCCCAGCGGTCCATTCACCCACCCGCTGTGTGACCTCGGACAAGACACTTCCCCTCTCTGCCCCTCTCTGAGCCTTCGTTTCCTCCTCGGAGAGGAGCTAATAATAGCTGCTGGTCTGGATGTAGTGATGACTCAGAGAGGGGCTGGGTGTGGGCAGTCCCGTCTGCCAGTGCCCAGGGTGGACCAGGGGAGTGTGTCACCGAGCCCATCACTGCCAATGTCTGTCCGTCCAGAAAATGCTCCGTGACCCAGATGAGGAGTCACAGCTCCCCCTGACAACCCCCAACGCAAACCTGACCTGAGCCGGAGACGGGGCTAAGGATCCTGCAAGCTTCCTGTGAATTGGGTTGGTCACCACTGTCTTCATTCGACAGGTGAGGAAACGGAGGCTCGGAGACACTAATTCTCTTGCCCAAGTCCACCCAGCGGCTGGAGGTGGAGCTGGGGTCAAACGAGGCAGTAAGACTCCAGCGCCCACAGACCAACCCTCCGTGTGGCTTCCTGAAGAAATGCCGGGACTGAGGGAGCCAGACAGCTCCTGGTGAGCCTGAGTTTTCCCGGTTCCATTCCCCGCCGTGCCTGGAAGGAGGCTGCAAGGACCCTGCCTCAGCCCTGGCCGCGGGGAGAGGACAGTGCAGGGCAAGATCTGCAGCTAAACCTGCAGGCAGCCACAGGGTCACAGCCCCGGGGAAGAAGGCATCCGCAGGGGAGTGCGCGGACACGAAGGAAAGGGCAGGAGAGGGAGGGTCCACGAGAAAGAGGAAGTCAGAGGTCACGGGAAGGGGGTGGGCAGACGGTGGTGGAGGAGTGCGGATGGGGAAGGAAAAGCAGAGGCAGCCTTGCTGGGAACCGGGGTCAGGCTGTCCCCGTCCAGCCTGCTAGAGTGGAGGAGAGTGCGGGAGCTGCTGGGACCCCTTTCTGGGCCTGCGTACTGGTCTTAGAGTCAGAGAAGCTAGGAACCCAAGATCAGCTTCTTAGATTTCCTGATGATGATGATGATGATGATGATGATGATGATAGTGGCAGTAATGGCAGCAGCACTATGTACATATTTGCTGGTATGCATAGGAAATAGTTTGAACCTTGCACATATGCTGACTCACTTAATCTTTACAACATCCCAGAATAAAGGCACTATTATTACACCCATTTGAGCTAGTGATTTGCTCTTGCGGACACACATGGTAAGAAGCCCAGCTGAATTCCACCCTTGACTCCATGTTCCCAGCTGGTGGATGCTGACCCATTCTCAAAGCACCATCCTTCAACCTTTCTCTGGGCTCAACTTTTCAAGAGTTTTTTTAGCGACCCCTCCCCCCCCCAAGCCTTTTTGTTTTTTTGTTTTGTTTTGTTTTTAAATTGCTTTCTCTTTCCCTCCTCTGCATTTAAGAAAGTGCTCTCTTTCTCGACATTGATAATATTATCAACTTATTCATGGTCAGACCTAGGGAGACCTACACTGGGCCAAGTTCCATGCTGGTCCGTTTCATGTCAGAACCACCCTGGGAGGTAGATCCTGTTGTTGTCCCCATTTTACAGGTAAGGAAACTGAGGATCAGAAAGAAGTCATTTGCTCGAGGTCACAGAGCAAGTGAATGGAAAAGTGGGGGTTTTTAACTCAGGTGTGCCTGGCTCCAAAGTCTATGTTCTCAACCGTGAGCCCATGCTGTGCCCCCCGCCCCCAAAGACCATACCTCATTGCGGGGGGGGGGGGGGGGGAAAGGAACAGAGAGGGGCAGCCACTGGCCCCAGGCCACACAGCACACTGATGGCATTGGTGGTAGAAACAGGACGAGACCTTGGGCCTATGGATTCCCACTCCAGGGCTCTCTGCACCCCGCTTCCTGGGCTCATGGAGCCGAGGAAAGGTTCCGGGCCCTCCACCGCCCTGGGCAGCTCACCTGTGCAGGCCACCGCAGCGAAGACCCAGCACTGGCCGTACTTGACCTTCTGGAAGCCGGAGTTCTTCCAGCGCCGCAGGATGTCCACACTGCCCATCCAGTACATGGGGCTTATGCCGTCCGCGTATTTGCCGTCCCAGCGTCCCAGCAGCACCCCCTGGTCGTCATTGCAGTTCACCTGTGACCAGCAGAGCATCGGGGGGGGATCAGTCTGGGGAAAGGGCGGTGGCTGTGCCAGGCAGAGCACAAGCCCAGCGCATAGCAAAAGGCGGGGAAGGGAGTCCCAGGGTGAGGGACTCCAGGTGCGAAGGTGTGACCGGCTGTGTGGTACATCAGAGAATGTTGGGGCTGGCAGCCAGGGTGCAGGGGTTGGGGGGGAGTAGAGAAAGGGGTCAAGGCCACGGAGGTGAGGCTGGAGGTGTGAATGTGCCCGCAGGATGGCAGGGGGATGGCACCAGGTGATCTGAGTACAAAGACCAGGTCTGGCTTCTGCCCAGATTGTGTCCCTCCCCCAACTCCCTTCCCTGGAGGATAAAATCCAGTCATCTGCGTGGTCTGGCCCCTGCCTACCTCTGCAGCCCCCCCTGCCCCCTGCTCCCCCTTACTCACTCTGCTCCAACACACTGGCCTCCCTTCGGCTAGTCAGGGCCTTGGCACAAGTAGAACCCTCTGTCTGGAAGGCTCTTCTCCTCCCAGCGAGTGTATCAGCTCAGGGATCATCACTCACGCCCCCCCCAGCCCCCCCGCCCTCCCTCTCTGAGGTTAGGCCCTGTGGTCAGACACTCTCTCACATCTGGGTTCCTTCAGTGCCTGCATCATTATTTATGACGACTTGACATCTTGGTGAGTGTCTGCCTCTGCCCACTCTCCCACTGGAACATAAACTCTCTGAGGTCCGGGACCACACATGTCCTACATCCAGCTGTTTCCCAGGGCCGGAGACATAGTGGCCCTGGATAAATATTTGCTGAACGAATGAATTGCTGAGAGGGATCACAAGACACGATCCTCATGTGGGTACATTTTGGGTACGATTTGTGTGTGTCTCTCTCTATATATTTTTTAATTGATTTTTTTACAGAGAGGAAGGGAGAGAGATAGAGAGCTAGAAATGTCGATGAGAGAGAAACATCGACCAGCTGCCTCTTGCACACCCCCTACCGGGGATGTGCCCGCAACCAAGGTACATGCCCCTGACCGGAATCGAACCCGGGACCTTTCAGTCCGCAGACCGACGCTCTACCACTGAGCCAAACTGGTTTCAGCTACATTTTGTCTCTAAATACGAGCTCTCTTAGCTGAGACTCCCCACCCCCTGGGGACCCCCACAGTGCTCGGTCAGGGACCCCCAGGGTGGCGGTGCGGCTGCTCACCATGGCGCTCACCACCCGGCACACGTAGACGGGGCTGCTGCGGCGGGAGCAGTCGCGGCCTCCGTTCTTCAGGAACTTGGGGTTCATGTCCAGGATCTTCAGGCAGGTGTCCAGGATCTCGGCTTCAAACTGTGTCAGAGGAAACCAGAGGGGGTGGGGGTGGGTGGGGGGTCACCTCCTCCAGGAAGTCTGCCTTGAAGCCCAGCAGCTGTAGGACCTCTCAGTCCGCCTTACATAGACTGGGATGCCAGCCGCTCCAGGCCGAGGAGGGGCTGGGGTGGGACAAAGACTATGAGTGTACGAGAAAGGGGAAGGGGGTGTGCCTGCATCCAGAGTCTGGCGGGTGTGGGGGATTTTGGGGAGTTGGAGCAGAGACCACTGAGTGGGGAGCCCAGTGTCCCTGGGGCTTCTCTACCCTCGGAGTCACCTCAGGCCCTGCCAGTGTCCCTTTGCCCTCTCTGCTCAGCCCAATCACCTACTTCCCCCAAAACCTGACTCACCCTGCAGAGCGGATGAGGATCCCCTCTCCCCGACCCCACCCACCTACACTGCTCTGATCGGAACTGATGTAGATTAGGAAGGTATAAATCTACTGGCAATGTCGTCACCCCTCTGTTTCTACCATACTCACTGAAGTCTAGATTTCCCCCCGGAGCTTGCGAGACCCTGCATGATCTGCGGCTGGGGTAGCCTCTTTGATCTCCTCTCTTACACGGGGCCTTTGGACTGGCTATGTCCTTCGCTTGGAATGCTCTTCCTGCCACTCTCTGGAAGGCTCACACCTTCTCATCCTTGCAACTCAAATTTATCTTTATCAAAAGCAGGACTCCCCCCTGGTCACCCATTGGATCACAGCTCTGTCATGTTCGAAGGCTCTTCCGTCTGCCCCCTGCTCCCCATCTTGACGGTCTTGTCCCAAACCGGGCCTCATCACAGGTCTCCCTCGGTGGCTTGAATCCTTTCCGTGGCTCCCTGTTGCCACCAGCCTGACATTAAGGCCAGTTTCCAGCCTGAACACTGCTGACTTCTCCCACTTCACCCTCTGGGGGCTCCTTCATAAGTACAGCACTCCCCAGGCTACGGGCTACTTCTAAGGCACACATTTTCCCATCTCCAAGCTCTCCTCTTTTTTTTTTTTTTTTTTTTTTAATATATTTTTATTTATTTTACACAGAGAGGAATTGAGAGGGATAGAGAGATAGAAACGTCGATGAGAGAGAAACATCGCCCACCTGCCTCTTGCACACCCCCCACTGGGGACGTGCCCGCAACCAAGGTACATGCCCTTGACCAGAATCGAACCTGGGACCTTTCAGTCCGCAGTCCGACGCTCTATCCACTGAGCCAAACCGGTTTTGGCCCATCTCCAAGCTCTTGCTCACGCAGTTCCCTTGGCCTAGTAGACATGCACCCACCTCCTTCAAAGCCCAGGTCACATGGTGCCTATTCCAGGAACTGCCCTGTCCCCTGTGGGCAATTAGTCCCTTCCTTTACTTCAGGAGGTTGAGGGGTCAGGGGTGAGAGAGTTCTTGCTTCATGCATTTTCTCAGTAATGTCTCAAGAGTTTTTTATGGGAGGCTGAAGGGTAGAGGAAAACATCAATGGTTTGGAGAACCAGCCCAGGCTGTCCTGGGAGAATCAGAAACCACATGGAGTAGAGATGAATCATCCAGCTGAGGTCGGACCAGTTCAGCCTAGACAGCCATGGCCTCTCAGGTTTAGGCTTGTTTGTTATTCGGCGGTAGCTAGCTGATATATCCAGACCAGCGGTTCCCAAAGTGACTGACATTAGATCAGAAGCATCAGCCTCCCCTGAGAACTTGTTCAACGTGGAGAATCCCTGCCCACACCCACATCTACTGAATCAGGAACTGGGGGTGGGCCCAGGGATGTGTATTTGACACACTATCCCAGTGATTCCGATGTATATGTAAGCCTGAGGCCCACGGATGGAGATAAAGGTTTAACGTCCACTCTCAGCACATGCTGAGCGTACAGTGCGGACTCACTAAGTGCTGCCTGTTATTTTGGCCTTGAATGCTCCCCTTCTCCCTCCTGGAATGACTGCCTGCCCACAACTCCTAAAGGCTCCCCTCATTCTTTCCCACCTTGACTATCTGGGGCTGCTGCTCCCACGGCAGGTAGGGAAACCCTTTGCTGTGTGACCTCAGGCCTGGCCTGAACTGTCTCTGAGCCTCCATTTCGGGGACCTTGAATGCGGACAACATGGGGGCTCTGAGACCCGATCCCACTTTTGCAGCTTGCCTGTGTCTCAGACCTGGGGCCCAGTGCACAGGGGGTCTGAGGTGGTGGGGAGGGGCAGGGGGAGACCATACCTGCCCAAAGTTCCAAGGGATATCATGGAAGTACTTGGCCGAACCCTGGTAGATGAGGCCATCCTGGGCAAGGACGTACTCCTGCCGCTCCTCCTCTGAGTCCAGGAACACGGCGTCTGCTGTGGGCGGGAAGGGAGGGGCCTCAGCCTTGGGTGTGGTGAGGCCCAGCGTTCCCGCAGACTTGGCATCCGGGGTGCCAACTCCCCGGGGCCAGGTCGGCGTCTCAGAAGCCTCTCTATCATCTAACCTGAAAAACTAACCATTAGCACATAACCCCGTGTCAATGGCAGAGATTGTGTTATCAGTGAGTGACAGCCACTGCGGTCTGCCTTTCGTCCAACATCCCTCGCGGTGCCTGGGTGTGTGATAAGCAGGTGGTGTACAATAGCTTGTACATAAGCAGGTGGTGTACATAGGCCCTATGTAGACGGGATCCAGGAAAGCCCCCTTTTGCAGGTGGAAAAACTGAGCCTCAAGAATATTTAACAACGAGAAAACTGATGCTAAAACAAAAGGCAGAGGAGCCTGGGCAGGAGTTGCGGCCCTCGGTTCTGCTCCTCACTTGCTGTGTGGCCCTGAGCTGGCCACGTCTCCTTCTCTGCCCACCTCTCTGTCTTCCCCGGGAGCACAATGGGTGGCAGGTCTGAAAGGTGCTCCGTGCGCTGACGCCCGAGCCAGCGTGAGGAAGGAGCACTGTCCAGCGTGGAGAGAAAGCCAAGGAAGTGTGACTGTGGCTCTGGCGGGGGAGAGGGGGTCTCGTCCAGCTCGGGGGTCAGGCACAGCCACCTGGAGCGGGTGGCATCTGCTGCCTTGACGACATACTAAGGCAGGAACCAGAGACAGCCAAGCTGCAGCTGCTGAGAAACGCAGGGCTCTTAGTTCCCTGTGACTAGTAAGGACAGACAAGGGGTCGGAGGTAGCCGGGGCCAGAGGGCAGGAGGTCAAATGTCAGGCTGGCCTTCACCATCTCCAGGTCACAGGTGAAGAAACGGAGGAAGGGGAACTCCAGAGCCACGCTGTGCCTTTGGTGGGCCCTGGGCATTTTTGCTTCCATTAAAAAACAAAAGTATATATTAAAAATATATTTCATGACTGCATGGCTTTAACGACGGATATGGTAATATTATATAGTAAGACATAGTCTCCAGCCTAAACACTCATGGTTTTCTTCTGACTTTAAAACAATTCCCATGTTTCTGTGGGCCCCTGAAGGAATGGTGGCCCAGGCCCTGTGCCTTCCGAAGTCTGCCTGAGAAAGCGCAGCCGGCGCTCCTGGCAAAGCTGGGCTAGAACGCAATGGCCAGGCCCGCCCCCGGGCCCCTCTGCAGAAACCAGCCCCCCGCTCGTCCTGCATGGCTGAGGTCTTATGCATCCTGCTCTTGGGCTCCAGAAATTGTGCAATACAAATTAGCCTTACGATAAGTGAACCATGTGGCCATAAATCAGTGGGCAGTGTGGGAAAGAGGATGAAAGAGAAAGAAATGCCCCCGGGTGCTTGGATGCTTTCTGTCGGCGTGAGCGTGTCGGCACGCCAGTGTCCCCCCCGTCAGGTTCTCAGCTCAGGTAAGGGTGGGCACTGGGGACGGAAGCCTCACTGTGATGGGCACTTGGTCCTGTCCATCTGGAGCGCAGGGACAGGGGGTCCCCTTTCACGGGCGGACCCAGCCCTCTGCCCCAGAGGGAGAACGGTGCCCTCGCCCTCGTCCAGCCCACCCCCCACAGAGCCCAGCTTCCTGCTTCCCAGTCGCCCGTCCCACTGCTTCCTCCATGCTCCCACCCTGGGATGTGGGTCACGTTAGTCACTGTGCTGCTTGGCTGACCGCCACGCCAAGCCACGGGCAGGAAGGGGACAGCTCCAGAGGAAGGAGGACATCCCTGGAACCTTGCTCCCTGCTCGCTGGACTCTGAAATCGCACAGTACAGGGCGGGAGGAGGACACCGCATGCTCCTGCTCCACGGGCTGGGCTGCCAACGGGCTGCAAGCTCTGCAGGTTGTCAGACAGCAAAACGAGCATGCGTGTGCCTGCTTCGGCAGCACGTATACTAAAGCAAGGCTGAGTCTGTCCTGAGAAACCGTTCCATGTGGCCACAAGAGCAAGGGTGCCTGTTGCCCCACCCTCCCCATGAAGAAACCCTGACACAGGGGGCCAGATGAATGAAAGAGCCACATGGACAGGATACGGTCACTCAGGTGCTCAAAAATGAATGAGTGGATGGCCCAGCTGGTGTGGCTCAGTGGCTGAGCATCAACCTATGAACCAGAAGGTCACGGTTCGGTTCCCAGGCAGGGCACCTGCCCGGGTTGCGAGCTCAATCTCCAGGAAGAGCCATGCAGGAGGCAGAAGATTGATGATTGTCTCTCATCATCGATTTTCCTCTCTCTCTTCCCTTCTCCCTTCCTCTCTCTGAAATCAATGAAAACACATTAAAAAAAATGAGTCTATGTGTGCAGATGAATGAGGAAAGATCTTCAAGACATGTTGTAGAAGAAAAACAACCCAGTAGGTTGATGTATTTGTGGGATCCTTTTACGTTTAAGGAGACAGAGGAGCTCAATGCAGTGGTATTTCCGGGCGCATGTGCCCAAGTCACAGGAGATGAGCCCCCCAAGGTGGCTATGACGGCGTTCCCCAAGGAGGGGTGACAAGGGCTGGCTGTCACCCCTTGATGTTTTAGAAAGAGGATGGTTTCCTGTCTTACTGTCATAATGAGAAATAAAAGCCAAAGCATGTAAAAAGAGAAAATGAAACATCCTTCTTCTCAAATATGTTACCAAATGCCCCCAAGTGGAGAAGGAAAAAAAAAAAAAAAAAAGCAATGGCCTGTGAGAAGCTGGTTATCTGACACCAGAATTTCTGCCTGGGCAGAGGCTTTGAGGGGAGACACCCGTTCCTCGGCTGAGGCCCACCCACAGAGCTCCCTCTCGGCCTCGCTGGGGAGGAGCAGGAAGGAAACCCAGCTGACCGCCTTGCTAGTCGGATGGGAAGCTGAGGCCCAGGAGGTGTGGTGGCCCCTGCCTCCTCCCATCGGCTCAAGTCAGCCTTGGTCCTCCCGAGCCTCCCTCTGACTCCCCAGAGTGGTCCAGCCCGGTCCACGTACTCACTGAAGGAGCTGCCAGAAGCCACCCCACTTCTCTGAGCCTCAGTTTCCTGCCTGGGACACAAGGCTGCTGATCTCTCTCTCCTCCCCTCCCCCCCACGTGTTGGCTGAGAGGAATAAATGAGAACGTGTATGCGGAGGCACTTAGATAAAACTGCTCCCACCCCCCTCCTAGCTACCCCACCTGCCACCTCCCTCGGTCTCCCCTCACTTGCTGGTCTGGCGAGGTTTAAAACAGAGTCTCGTGAAACAGTACCAGGTGGGAGCCATGGGCACACGCAGGACACCCCATTCCTGAGTGTAGCTTCCGACCCCGGGCCACCCCCACGCCCAGCTCACAGTGCCGTGGGGACATATGGACAAGACACAGGATGAGATCGCTTGGAGGTTGGGAGACTTTGGCCAGTCCTTGTGCTTCTGTGAGCCTGTCTGCTCCTCTGGACGTGGGAATAAGGGGAGTCCTCACATCGAAGGATTTGGGGGAGCTGAGCCTGGAGCTGCACAGGGTGGGCCTCACTCCGTCCACCTTGATGTCTCTTCTGCCCCATCTTCCACCCTCAGCAGCCCCCCTGGGCCGGTCTGGCCCTGCCCGCCTCCCGCCTGCTCATGGGTGGCGCGCGCCTCACCTGGGCACCAGGGGTTGAAGAGCAGGGTGAAGTGGCCCAGATTGAAGCTGGAGGGCTGGGAGCCGGTGGAGGCCTCCATGGTGAGGCTGTACAGGCCGATGGGGGCGTTTGGTGGGGCAATGAGCTGCAGCGAGAGCTCACTGCCCTGCTGGTCTATCACCGAGGCCGTCCAGGTATGCTGCTCCACGGCGTCGGACAGCGGGAAGCGGGCGTTGGTCCCGGCCTCCTCGCTGGGGTTTGGGCCTGTGGAAGGAGAAAGCAGGGGCCATGCGCCAGGGGTGGGCAGGGAGGGAAGGAGTCAGGACTGGTAGGGGCCGGGCACGTGCCAGGGGTCCTTGGTCCTTCAGCTCTGCCACTAACCATTGGAGAACTTTGGCAAGAGACTTCATCTCCCCGAACCCTGGTTTTCCCATCTATAAAATGGGGATCGAACCCCAACCTTGGAGGGTGGTTTTGTAGGAATGCATGACAAGCTGTAGGTGGATTCCTCCTGGGAGATGGGCCAGGGCAGCCTGGGACAGGGGCCGCCACGCCGCTCTGAGCTTTTCCCCCTCTCCGTTTGCCCGCCTGCAGCCGCGACAGGAACTGGGTGGATGCTCCCAGGGGCCCGCCTTTCCTGCCTAATTCCTTTACCTGCTAACATCCTTCTTCCCTTTCAGGAAAAGCAGCCCAGGCTCCGAATAGGATGGGACGGGGGTCCCTGGTGGCCCCTCCAGCCTTTGGCGCCTGGATCTCCAGGACAGCTCTGAGGAGTGCTCACAGCCACCTCTCACCTGCCCATTGCCCTTTGCCCATTGCCCTATGAAATGCCCGGGCACTCCCTGCTTCCCCCAGGACCCCTTGAGGGGGGAAACTGAGGCTGTCCCAGGGTCAGAAATCAAAACAAGCATGCGTGTGCCCCCTGTATGCTTGCCCCAGTAACCCCGGGCAAGGTCGGCATCTGAGCCCAGGTTTCTGGGCTCTGGCTGTCCCCTCGGCACCTCTCACGCCCCGAGGATGTTCTCTGGGAGGCCTGAGGGGGTCCGGAGGCTCAGGGAGGCAGAGAGGCTGCCTCAAATAGCTGCTTTTTCAGGTGGAGGGGAGGGCCCGGCCCAACAGGCAGGTCTGAGTCATGGGGAGGGCAAGGGCGGCCGGTCTCCCTTTCTGGACTCGGGTGGCGGGAAAGAGAAACAGAACCTTCTCTGCTCGACTGGGCAGCTGCCCAGGAAGGTTTATTTTTAACCTCCCACCTCCCTCTCTGCAGCCCAGCCCACTGCCGCTGACAATACGGGGCCTGCTCACCGAGGGGCTCCCTCCCAAAGCCCAGCCACCATCCACACCCAGGCCCAAATATAATCATGAACTAACAGGCCTGACCCTGGCCCAGGGGCCCCGTCGGTGTGCCATGAGCCAGCTCTGAGCCTTTAAATGCTCCCAGTCTTCCACAGCAGCACCTGAGGGAGGAGGCCAGCAGTCCTGGGGCCCCTAGAACCTGTCTCGTTCCAGTTCCCCACTTGGGCCCTGAGCGCTGTGTGCCCTGAGCTAAGTCCCAGGCTTCTCTGATCTGCACGTTTCTCATCCAAGAAGAAAATAGGAGACCACATGCCTGGGAGGGTCTGATTCCAGGTCTGAAACGTGCTCTGTAACCTTGGACAGCTAGTTAGCTTCTCTGTGACCCCGTTTCTTCCCCTGTGAAATGGAGCCAATCGCACTACCTCTCCACACAGTCAGTCTGCAGCCTAAAGAAGACGAGGCGTGTGAAGTGCCTCGAAAGGTGCCTGGCACATAGTAAGTGCACAATAAAGAAAAGGTATTGTTGCCATCACCTCCTAACACGCTGCAGAGGATTTACTGAACGTTCACAGAAGGCATTTAAAACAGGGACTGGGAAGGAGTAATCACAGAAATGTGAGCTATCTTCAGTATCAGCAACAGGGACCATTAATGCCCGGCTGCATGGCTCAGTGGTTGACCGTCGACCTACGAACCAGGAGGTCACAGTTCGCTTCCCGGTCAGGGCACATGCCCAGGTTGCTGGCTCGATCCCTAGTGTGGGGCGTGCAGGAAGCTCATCAATGATTCTCTCTCATCATTGATGTTTCTCTCTCTCTCTCTCCCTTCCCCCCCCGAAATCAATAAAAAAAATTTTTTTAAAAGGGGAATCATTAAAAATCAGCATTCTTAGGCCATACAACATTTTGAAGACTGGAGTGAAATGAAAACTGAGGCAAGAGGTGACCTCTCTTGGTGTGCCGGGACAGTCCCGGTCTATGCCTGTAGTCCTCGTGTAATCATTAATGGCGCCCCTTTCACTCTCAGAATGGTCCCTGTTTGGAAGATCAATGACCTGGTCACCACGGTGACCAGCCGGGCCAGGTTCCGTAGCCACAGTCACTATTGACATAACCAGCCCCAAGGAAAGGTCAGGAAACATGCTTCCCTTTCTCTCTGTCCCAGGACAACGAGCACCTAGGTGTGTGTGTGTGTGCGCGCACACACACACACACACACACACACACACACACTTTCTTCCCAGGGGCCCGGAGGGGCATGGAGACAGGCCGTCCCCGGGCCTCACCACGGCTACAGGAGCTGGCTTTGGAAGTTCCTGGGCTGCGGTTCCACACGGCACTCTCGTGGGGCCTAAATGACTCTGAGGACTTGAGGGGCCTGGGCCCTGTCCCAGACCAGGGTGGCACAGGAGGCCAGGGTGGTGGCCGAGGGGAACCTTCCGGAGCAAAGCCTTCAATTAGCCTCATAAGAGCTCCTTTCACTCCTTCAGGCAGGGCTCGCTCCCGCCCCACTCACCCCCACGCCCGGGCCCTCCCTGGGAGGGGGCGTAGCTTTCATCCGGTGACAAAGGTGGTGTTTGTCTCCTGTGGGCTGTACCCCGTAGCAGGGCCTGTCAGGCCTCGGACGGTCTGGACGGGACACGCAGCCCTCGGGGATGTGCGGGGTCAGGCCACACGCTTCATCCCCTGGGGGACGTAGCCGAGGGTCTGGCCTCGCCGGGCTTCCGGTTCCCCAACGAGGCAGGACAGGATGATCCCACGAGAGAATGTTCCAGCATTCTGGGGTGCCCAGGCCAGGCCCGGGCTGGGCGCTGACACCAGCCAGGCCTTGGGGTGGGAGGCCTGGCTTCCTTCTATTGTCCTCAGCTTCCCCGGCCCCGGGGAGGGTCTCGGCGGTCACACAGGGGAAGCTGTGTGCGTCCAGAGATACTGTGACCTCCGTCCGAGGCTGCCCGCCGGGGGCTCTGGAAGTGGCCGGGGCAGGTTGGCTACAGTCTGAGATAATTTGCTCAAGACTGGAGAACAGAGATTAGTTGTTGGGGTGGGGAGGCTGGTGACCTCCACAACCCTGAACTTGGAACCCTAACTACCCAACACGTAGATAATCGAGGAGAAAGAACGGGGACACCTTAAAAAAGAAAGAAGTAAAAAGAAAGGGGGAAATCACAGGCTACCATCCCATTTCACAGAGAAATACACTGAGGCCTGGCAGCCCCTGCTGGGGTCACAGCGACAAAAAAAAATTTTCAACTCTATGGTCGGGTTTGAATTTCCTTTTCTCCTGGACACCGTGTGACCCGAGCAAGTAACGTGACCTTTCTGAGCCTCAATGTTGCCATCTGTATAATGGGGGCTCCTTCTGCGTCCACGGAGGGGGGATTTAGAACGGGTGTGCAAACAGTAGGCGCTCCACAGATGTGGTTTTCACCATCCCAGAGCACCACTGTCCTGTGCTCCGACCTGCCACTTTAAGAAGGGGAACTGAGGCCAGAAAGACCCGAGACTCGCCGGAGGCCCCTGGGTTAGAGTGGGTCCCAGAGGGGCTGGGTGTGTGGGGGTGACTGTGGGTAGTGGGTGTGCCCCTGCCCAAAGCGGAAGGGGAGTGGGGGAAGGGATGAAGGGGATATCCGTGGCCAGTCTGCAGGCGCGGTGATAAGCCTTATCAAACGGCCTCCCAGGTAAATAAACACAGGCCTCAGCCAGGTGGGTGCAGTTAGTTCCTGCTCGCTGCTCGGGCCTGCCCTCGGAGACCTCAGGAAGAGCTGGCCTTTCCCACCCATGGGCCAGCGTCCCAGCCAGCTGGCCCCTCGATGACCTCAAAGGAGTGGTTCCTACTGGAAACCAAAGCAATGGGTTCAGCATTCAAGGCCACTTTCCGGAAACGGGCACTGGGCATCTGGGGATGGGGTGGCTGGTTCTCCATGTCCCTTTACCCACCACTGATGTCAACAGGGCATCCCCTCCCTCCCCCCCAAGTAAGGCCCTTCTCACTTAACAACCCTTCCCTGTGACGGCTTTTCACATGATAACTCAGGCTCAGAGAGGCTAAGCAACTTACCCCGGGTCACACAGCAGTTAGGCAGCCCAGTCTGCGCCAGAGCCCAGGTCTGTCTGTGCAGCCTTAAGCCTGAGGCAGCCTCCCTAGGGCTGGAGCCAGCTGGGTTCTTTCCAGCACCCAGACCTCATTTGGGCCTGATCCCAGAGGCCTGGCGGGTTGCGTGGAATTTGGGAAGCAGCTATTGATAAGAGCTGGAAAGCTGTTTTGATGTGGAGATGAGCACGAAAGATCTGAACCCCAACCCCGATGATAACAGGTTTTTAGGAACCAAGCTGTCCAGAAGCACAGACTTGATAACAAAGCTGCGTGTCCTTGGGCGACATCTCTCAACTCTCTGCACCTCCGGTCCCTCTTCTGGGAAATGGACTGATGACTGCTGGGAGTTTTCTGGGAGTTTCACCTGCTCCACTGTCTGCGGGGGGACAGTCAAAGCAGAGAGCAGGGCAGGTGCCTGACGGTACTTACCGGTGGAGACGATGAAGGTGAGGTGGTCCACCCTGGCCTCGTAGCTCCTGCCCTGGAAACGCAGCGTTAGCCGGAAGGGCTGGCCCCTCCGCACCACCAGCTGCTTCAGGCACAGTTCTGCCGTGTGGTGGTCGCGGCCATTGGCCTCCAGCTCCAGGTACCACTTCTCCAAAGCCAGACCTACGGAGACAATGGGGGGCGTGAGCCCGGGGGGCAGCCCTCAGCCAGCTACCACCCCTACCACGCCCCTTCGCTCAGTACAGAGCCTGGTTAGTCAACTCCAGCTAGTCTATCATTATTGGTGGTTTTGTTTTATTTTGTTTTATTGTTAAAGCAAGGGCCGTATTTGGGATAAGGTTAATTACACAGGCTTGCCTTTTCGTTTCAATTTTCAATTTAGGAAATACAGAGGCCTGAGGAACATTTTAAACAAAGAAACAGGACACAGCAACTTTCACACCAAGGGCAACAAAAGACAAGGTACTTGGTTTCTTTAACAAATAAAAATGGGGGTTAGTTAAAGGGAGAGCCTATAGATTATGAGGAATTTAAGAGACATTCTAACCGTCGTGCTGATTAAAACAACAACTACTACTTAAAGCATTCCACCAACTACTGGAAAGGTGAATACTAGTGGGATAGTGGTGATGCTAAGGAATTTCTGTTCCTTTGTTCATATCTAAAAAAGAGGCCTTCGCCTTTAGAGACAATATTTACAAATAAAACGATGCTTCCAAATAATGGGGAGGGGGGTCCACTGAGGGTGCAGGAGGCAAGAGCAGTTATAGGCCAGTGGTGGTTGAGACTGATAAGAACATACACATTTATTATGCCATTCTTGCCACTTAAAAAAACACACACACATTTTTATTTATTTCAGAGAGAGGAAAGAAGGAAAAGGAGACAGAAACGTCAAGGACAAGAGAATCATCGATCCATCAGCTGCCTCCTGCATGGCCCCCACTGGGAATTGAGTCTGCAACCTGGGCATGTGCCCTGACCTGGACTCAAATTGTGATCTTTTGGTTTATAGGTCAACATTCAACCACTGAACCACACCGGCAGGGCGCTCTGTACTTTTATGTTTGTTCAATGTTCTCCACAACACAAGGCTTTTAACATGATGGGGCTTTTGGAGTCGTCTGGATCTAAGCTTCAGTTCTGTTACGCGGCTGTGTGACCCTGGACCGGTGTCTCTCCCTCTCGGTGCCTCCTTCGCTGGAGCCTCAGAGGGCTGCAGGGAGGTCTAGCAGAGGATGTTGGGACACCCTTTCCCCAGGGCTTAGCTCAGGGCAGGAGCTTGATATGTGAAAAGTCTATTTAATTTCAGAGGGAGCTGACGTCCAGGGCAGGGGAAGGGGTGCTGGGATGGGTGGGGGTCTGAGGGAAGCACAAACTTCATACACCTTGGCAAGCTCGAGGTCAAGATTGGGAAGCCCACAGGGTGGGGGAAGAGGGCAAGGCAGACTCTCAGAGCTGTGGGGCCCTTGGGAAGTATGTGGCCAACTGAGGCCCAAGGGTGGGGATTTGCCCAGTCACCCTGCAAGTTCACTGGGACATCAGTTCAGGCCTCCTGCCTCCTCTCATGGGCTATCCCAAAAGCGAGGTGCGAAGTGCCCAGCGGCGGCAGAGATAGGCGCTATGTGGCCTCAGGTCCCTCGGCAAACGGCAGCGTTGGGGTTTGTGGAGCCCGCACTGGTAGCCACCTCACTCACAGCTCAGGGCTTGTTCTCCGTCTTCCTGCCCCTCCTCCCTTCCCCTCTTCCTCCGTGTCCTGAGTTATTCTCCAGCCAGGGAGGGGACGCTGGGGAGCCATGCCCCTGCAATCACTGCGGGAGAGACCTCCACACGGAGCAGCACTCCCACTGGCCTGCTCAGCAGGAGAGAGAGCACTGCTTCCCCCCCCAGGAGACCAAGCGATGGCCAGTCCCTGCTCTGAGGCTAGTGTCTGGAGAAGGATTTCCAGAAGTCATGCCCAGCTTAAAGGCGCAGACACCCTAGGGTCTGAAATCGCAGGGTGTTTGCACAGAGGAAGGACCTGAGGCCTTCCAGCCCGGAGGACACCTGTAGGCAGTGGCCCCTCGGGCACTGGGGTAGGAGGCTCGTCATAACTGCCATCTCCATGGCTACTGAGCCCCACTCTTGGGGATGGGGACAAGTGGCCACCTTGGTGACACGGCACAGCCAGCCCTGGGCTGGTTTTCCATCCCACACATGGGGAGCTGGGTCCCAGAGAAGGACCTGACATCACACAGCAGGTCAGGCAGGTTCATGGTTCCTCCCTCCCATCTCTGCCCCAATGGCCCATGGCCCTGTCCATATTCCCTCTCCCCACAGCTCCTTCCGGACTGCAGCGGTGCAGGGGCCATTTCAAAGGGAGAGCTGAGGTGGGGATGCTGGGCCCAGCAGCATGCCTGCAGGGACATCCTTAACTGGAGAAATCCCCTCCCCTGGCATTGGTGACATGGTAGCACTGTGTGTGTGTGTGTGTGTGTGTGTGTGTGTGTGTGTGTATGTATGTATGTGTGTGCGCGCGCGGGCAGGTGGGAAATCAAGTGAGCCCCCTTTCCACTCCTCTCAGCCCTCACAGATGTACCAAGGGCTGGCATTATCACCCGGGTAGCTCAGTTGGTTAGAGCATTGTCCCAGGATACCAAGATTGCGGGTTCAATTACTGGTCAGGGCACACGTAAGAATCAACCAATGAATGTATCAATAAGTGGAACAACAAATCCAGGTTCCTCTCCCCCTCCCTCTCTCTCTCAAATCAATTTTTTAAATAAAAAGAACATTTTACAGTAGGGGAAACTGAGACTCAACATGTGGCCGAGGACTAGGGGTGCAGAGCTTGTGAGCCAGAGGGACCTAAGAGGACACCCTGCTGTCAGCCCGCTCCCCCGCAGGATGCGGGAACCTCCTCTCTGGCCCTGGGGGCCAAGGAGCCGGCCGGGGCGGCTTGCACCCCGCCTGGCTCAGCAGGCACGCCTCCTCACCGCTGGCAGGGACTACCCAGAGCCAAGTGTTCTGAGGCCAGGCCCACAGCCCCTGCACAGCTTTGTGCCACTTGACACACAGCAGCCAGCCCACCTGACTGACGGAGGACGGGAACAACGTCCACGCCACCGTCCTTTACAGCTCACAGCACGCCTTCGTGTGCCATTGCCTCATCTGACCCAGGCAGCCAGGGGTCAGTGATTATGCCCTGGGGATGGGGGAAACTGAGGCCCCAAGGCCAGCCAGGTCTGGGAGCCTGGCAGCCCTCACCCAGCCCACACCTCATGTTGCTCTCCAAGATTTGAGCCGCAGCCTGCCCTGACCCCGGCTGCACCGGCTCAGCCCCGTGATCAGAGAGGGACAGCCAGGCACAGGGCTCCTGAGGGCGGCAGCCCTGACCCTAATACTCACCCGTGGCCATGGTCAGGGGTGGCAGTGTCTCCCGGGACTGGTAGCAGGACCCTCCGGGGTGGACCTCTGGCAGCTGCTGTGCAGGAGGCTGAGCGCGGGGAACTTATAGCGGCTCTGGCCGGCCGGGGGCGGGGCAGAGAGGGAAGGCGGGGACCTGCGAGGTTGGAGGTTGCTATTGCCCAGCCTGCGCCCACGCTCGCTTGGGCTGGCCGGCCAGGGCAGGAGCCCTCGAGGGAGGGAGGGAGGAGGGAACGGTGGCCAGGCAAGGGCTCCCCCTGGGGGAGCAGACAGAGTGCAGGGCTGGGACAGCAAGGACACACAGTTAGATCAGGACACAGACACACCTGGACCCACAGTGTCAGACCTTGGGTAATAGACGCCTGGACAGAAAAATGCACACAGACAGACACAGACACGTGTGGAGCCCGCACAGTCACAGACACACTCCTTCTACACATACAACAGACAAACCTGGACATATGGTGACATGGATACACAATCAGGTTAAAAGAATGGAGACATGGTAGGACATAGCCACAGGCAGGCACACAGGTACCCACCAGGAGCCACATACCAATACACTGAGCTCACAGACACCAACGTGCCATCAGCTCTGGACACAGAAGCCGATTGGGGCATCCACAGATATGCAAAGGTACATATGATGGACACACATGCAGACACAGTCTTGTGTACACATGCAGACATACCCACAGAGACAGGCTCACTTCTTCCTGGAGCAGAACCCAGGTAATCTGCCCATCTCACCCGTCCCTCAGATGATAGATCTAATCTATCCACCCATCCATCACCCACCCATTCATCTATCTAGCCGTCCACTCACCCAGCGCCACTCACCCCTACCTGCTCCTCATCCTCCCTCCATTCCCATTCACTCTCATCCCTGCAGGCTGGCTGTGTGCCAGAAGGAAACAAAAAAAAACTTTCCAAGAACTCAACCTTTGACTCTCCCCACTAGCATCCAGGGCCGGGGGCGGTGTGTGTGTGTGTGTGTGTGTGTGTGTGTGCAGCATTGCTCCTCCTGGGCCCTCTTCTCCCCAGACTCCTATGCTTCTGACCCACCGTGAGGTCTGAGCAAGAGGTGCAGGGGCCTGGGGCCTCCCCAAGCCTTTTTTCTACAATAACTTCCATATCTCTTGAGGGATTTCGGCTACAGAACTGGTCCCAGCTCCCATTCCCGTGGGACAAAGCACAGGGAACAAGCCTGTGTTGTTTTAGTGGATGTTTGTCCCTGGGTCAAATGGGCCCTGCCTGGGTCTCAGTGAACAGACTCATGGCACAGCGTCGAGCCCTGATGACCTGTAAAATGAGTGAACCTCGCTCATAACTGCCTGGTGTTACAGATACTGTTACAGAATCGGTCCCCTGCAGCTGGCGAGAGCTCAGAGGAAGGAGCAGGATGAGTGAACATCAGCCAAGAAGCCAGTACCCACGCTGCTCTGACCAGCTGAGTGGCCAAGGGCAGGTGTTTCAGCTCTCCAGACCTCAGTTTCCCGCTCTGCAAAGTGGGGGCAAGAATTCGCCCCTCACGGGCCTGGAGTAAGGCTCCATCAAAATGGCTGGGGCCGGGACCTAGTCTATAGTGCGCAGTGGATAACCGGGTCCCTGATTCTTGGAGCAAAAATGGCAATGGTCCTGAGGGACAACAAAATAAATAAAAAAAAATAAAAATGGGTGTAGTAAGAGTCCCTGCCTCGGGGGGTTAGAGACAATGTCTGCTCTGTGCTGAGCATATGGTAGATGCTCAATAAATGGTACCTAAAACATTTCATGCGCATGTTAAGATCAGGAGTCCCCTTCCTCCACAAAAGTTGGGTTCTTATGTGCAGGTGAAGCAGGTGGCAAGCAATGTAGACCATTTGTGGGGTGCTCAGAAGGAATGCCCTGCCTCCCAAATAAGTCTGAGGCCCAGGGTTGCTGATGCAAAGACCCCACCATTAGAGAGGTCACCCCTTCCCTTTCTTAAGGAATTCCAGGCCTTGAGGTAGAGATTAAGGTGACATTTTAGAACTTCTGAGTAACCCATTATCAGTTGTTCAATCTAAATCTCACAGTGTGATTTTCGTCATTTGTTAAATGAGGAAACAGGCTCAGAGAGGTGAAGTGGCTTGCTCAAGGTCACATAGTCAGGAAGTGGGGCACCGAGTAGGGCCTTGGTTCAGGGATCAGCCCTATAACCTGCCACGCCCACCCTACTTGGGTGTCTGGTGGGCAGTGGACATTCAATACGTGTTTTTGGCATGAGAGAGAAAGATGAGTCAGAGATAATTGAAGGGAAACTAGAAGGAAGGAAAGGAAGAAGAAAAAAAAAGACTAAGATTCAGATAGGTTGGGGAAACTGCCTGAGGTCACACAGCACAGCTGGGCTCCCAGACCCTGGCTCAGCTGAGCCATTCCCCAAGGATGAGGCAAGAGGTAGATGGTTGGTGGGCTGAGGGGGACGGGACAGTGTAGGTGGGACGGTGATAGGCATTGGAAGCCTCCACTTTTCTACCGGCTGGTGACTAATGGTAGATGAGCAGCGTCTGGGATGAGCCAGTCCAGGGAGGGAAGGGCCAGACTCCCTGAGGTGGGATGGGCTGAGGTAGGGATGAGAACAGGAGACTTGGAGGAAAGGTCAAGAGGTAGGTGTGACCTTCCATGCTTCCTTTTGAAAGGGAGCGTGGCTGGTGGCTTGTGGAGGCAGGTCTGTGTGCCACCAGCTGTGAGGAGCAGAGAACAGTGCCCTTGCCCCGGTGGCCCTCCCAATGTGTCCATTTTTAAAATGGAAAAACTGACTTGCTCATGGTGTCCGCGGCTCCACTGCCATGCTACATCCTTCTCCCGCTGCCCTATCCCCTGTGTAGGTTCTCAGGCCCAACTGTGCCCCTTAAGCTCTGTGGGCTCTGAGCCCATTGAGGCTTCAGTTTCCATTTCTGTAAAAGCAGAATCAACCCAGCCAGTGTGGCTCAGTGGTTGGGCATCAACCCAAGGACCAGGAAGTCAGAATTCAATTCCCAGTCAGAGCACATCCCAGGTTTCAGGCTCGATGCCCAGTAAGAGGCAGCCATAGATGATTCTCATCATTGATGTTTCTATCTCTCCCTCTCTCTTCCTCTCTCTGAAAATCAACAAAAACATATTTTGAGATAAATAGATAAAATAAAAGCAGAACCCTATCCCAGCCCCCAGCACCACAGGACAGTCCCAGTCTGCCTTGTCTAAGGCCCAGTGTGTGCGCGCCTCTGTCTCCCTCCACCCCCCTGGCTTTAGTGGCTGCTTAACAAATGTTTGCTGAATAATTAAATGACCTGTGACAGAGAGAGAGAGAGAGAGAGAGAGAGAGAGAGAGAGAGAGAGAGAGAGAGAGAGAGAGAGAGAGAGGAAGAGAGAGAGAGAGAGAGAGAGAGAGGGAGAGAGAGACTTGTCCAGCCTTCAAGCTCTGGAGGCTAGCCCAGCTCCGAGCCTTGGCTGGCAAAATCTGTGGTGCCAGCTGTCCATGGCAGAACCAGGAGCCAGCGTGTGGTGCTGGAGCCTCCTAGGAAGCCTTGGTGCCTCCATCAGAGATGAGTGGTCTGAGCTGTTACAAGCCCGGGGGTAAAAGGCCCCCTGCCGAGCCTCAGAGGCCTCGAGCAAACAATCTCCCCTGGTCCCACAGCAAGTTACGGTGGGGGCAGGTGCTTCAGACTCTGCAGAGAAGCCAGAACCGGCCCTGCACTGCGCCCCTTGATTTTGAACGTGTAGAAGGCTGCTTTTTCTCCATTTGCAGTAGGGAATGGCATTGTAATGGGAGTGGGACGGAATATGAGGCTCGCCTGGTGTCATCAATGATGGAGTTCAAAGCTTCAGGTTCCATCCCAGGGCCCCTTCTCACTGTCTATGTGGCCTCAAATACCAGTCTCCAAAGAAAAGAACTCAAAACGCTCAGCCCACCGGGCTCTGGGAAGGAGATCCTGAAAAGTGAGAGCCCCTGCGAAGGAGAGTAAGTTGACTCCAGCATTGTTGTCACCATTAAGCGCTTCCATTTCTTAACTGTCCAGACACCCCAGGGAATGGGGAGTGTTAGGATTTTTGGAGAGTGGAGTCCTGCCCATTACAGGCAGTAAAATGTGCTTTACTCATAGGAAAACCCGCTTCAGACCCTTACTCACAACCAATTATCACTTACTTGACATACAATTTTAATCAAAATGTAACATCCTAACCTGATCTAGCAGTCCCCAAAGATGAGACGTTCAGACATTAGGATTGAGGAGAAGAGATGCCGGACGTGGGAGGTACCCAGGGAGGGAGCCATCGGAAAAGACTCACAGAGGATCCAGGACCTCTGACACTGGTAACGTCTGGGGCCACTGGGAACTGGGCAAACCAGCCTCACCGGGCAATCTGCAGCGGCCATGACAGTGACCGAGGCATCCTATGAATAGAGACTTTGTGATGAGCACATCAGGCCTATGAGATACTTTTTACTTTGGTCCTGCTTCTAGCAGCAGCATGGCTTGGCTACAAGGACACAGGCTTGGAGATTAACAAACCTGGGCTCAAGTTCAGCTCTGCCATTCCCTTTCCTGTGCGACCATTGGATAAGTCACAGCACTCTCTAAGCCCAGTTTCCTTGTCTGTATGATGAGGACAAAGTAGTACCTACTTCATAGGATTTCTGTGAGGATTAACTCCATGCCTGGTAGAGAGTTGTCACTCAAAAAGAATGGCTGATTATTTAATAGTAATAATAATAATAATAATAATAATAATAAAAGTACTGACCCATGCTACAACATGTGGAAACTTCAAAACTATTATGCTCAGTGAAAGCAGTCAGTGACAGAAGACCACATAGTATGTGATTCCATTTATATAAAACTAGAGGCCCGGTGCATGAAAATTCATGCACTGGCCTGACCCCATCACAGTCTGGGAGCCCTCAGGGGCGGGAGGCGATGCCCCCATCACATCTCTGCTGCTGCCACTGCCAGCAGTGCAAGTCTTTGCCGGCCCTGGTTACCTGAGCCTCAGGCAGCTTTGGGCGGCTGGGCAGCCATCATCTGACTCTTGCCTGCACCTCGGGCCAGCTCTGGGTGGCTGGAGGGCTGAGCGGTCTGGGGGACTCTGGAGGCAGGGGTGTGGAGTGGC